AAAAAAAAAAAAAAAAAAAAAAAAAAGACACCGCAAATTGTCAATATTCTAGATGATCAGAAATTTCCATTATAAGAATATAAGAGTAAATCCTGTGTTTAATGACCTACCTCAGCAAAAAGAGTTCACTGAAACAAATTATGAAATCCTTGGTGTACTTTATGAAAGTTTGAAATTATAAATAGAACCATTAAGGTATTTTAAAAACTTAACATCCTGTATTCTGAACCACATGCTCATTACAATCCTGTTTGTTACACAGCACCAATACCCATGGATCCATCTTACAACTACAGAATCAGGTAAGAGGACAATATCATTTCCTTTATGAATATTGCCAAAGAAACAAGTTTTCATTAAAAAAAATAGAAATGTCTATGTGGACACAGCCAAATGTCTGTGCATTTAGGAAACTATCACCGTGAAGAGGCTGTAAGCATTTTCCTTAAGTGCATACTTCAATCTTGCTGCACCGTGCTTTCAACTTCTGGGGCTTTTTTTTCTTAGTACCCTAAAAGCAACATAATCATTTTAAAGGCTGCAGACTACAATAGCAAGAATTTCTGACTGTTAAAAAAATAAATAAATTTATCTTTCAAATTAAAATTATTATAAAAGTGGAAATTACAATAGTTAAGGAAATAGAAAAATAAGCCAATTATGATCTGAGTCTTCTGACTATGGCTCCAAATTTAATAATACAAATATCTCTGTATAAAACTTTTTCAAAAAGTTAATTCTGCCAGCCAGATCCTAACACAGAACTTTCCAAGTCTCTGAATTGACCCTATAAACCCAGTCTCTGAAAATTTCTGCTCCGGAGCTATAGTCACCTCCAACACCGATAAAGCACAGGTTGAAAGCATTTTCCCTATTATTTTTATAGTTGTCGAAAATAAACTGCTGATGTAGACAATCGTCTGAGGAAGAAGTGGCAAAATACGCACACACAGTACTAATTACAAAATCACGGGTGATGACCAACAATATACTTTATTAGAGGATTATTAGTGACTTGCAAACCATTTACTATTTCTATACTAAACAAGAGAAATTATAGTGTATGACCAAGTGCAGCAGGTTAAAAACATCTCATAAAGACTTCAGACCAAAATTTACCTATGTATTTTAAACTTTACTGTGTATCTGTCCTGTTTCTTCAAATTTTCCTCAATTTTCATAGCCTATAAATTTATATCAGCCAATACGGTATCTAACGATATAAAATTATGTTTAATCCATAATATCTTAATTATACTATATTAAAAATGACAAATTACTACCTGCCCAATTCCTCTATCAGCTAGCAGCCTCATGAGAAAGAAGCAGGGCATTTTCATTCCATCAGCAATGTGAAGCACAGAACTAGGAAGGAGAGAGATCAACTCCTTTTCCAAGTTCTCTCTCTGACTGAGACTTGCTTTTGATATGTGAAATCTTCCCATTTGGAACTGGGCACCCAGCCCTGCACAGCACAGATCACTGCTCAGCCTCATGAGGCAGCAAAAAGGCTTCCACACCCAGACAACAGTTTTCAGAAGCAAATGCCAGAGGTGATACAAATCATTTAAACCCTGATTTCATCGCAAATGATTTTAAAATACAGTACTGACCTAATATATTTTGTGGGCATGTAGTGTTGTAAGTGGTAAAATTTAAGACATTTAATCTAAATGTTCCATTTTCCCTAAAAGAAGAAAGACATTTTAGTAGGAAAAGAAAAACAAGCAGCAGCAGTGGCTAGGTAATTTAAACTGAAATTAAAAAACAAACATATAAACAAAAAGCAAATACAAAAAGCACGGTCCTATAAGGTACAGTCAGCTTGGCACAGTGAAGACTAAATTTCAGACATGAAAGACGAACTGTATAATAAATAGGGCCACAGTTGTAAACTGTCATTTTCCCTCCTAAGACGCCGAAATTGCACTCTAGTTGTCTTGGGAAGCAGCAGAGTTTACAAGAAGAGTGGGTAGGAAACAGCTGTACAGCCCAGGTGTTGTTTATACATTTTTTAGAAAGTTATAATTCTACAGTCCCAAGGGAAGAGAGATTACAGTCACGGAATGACTGGTGATACTATGTCCTCTTCACACTCCAATTATTTTTCAATACCTAAAAATGAGAAAGAATAGAGAAATCCTTTTTAGTTTTAACTCATACTTGACAGAATCACGAAGAATGAAGCAAGGAAGTAAAATATGTCAACAGTTTATAAACATTTTATCCAATAGCTTTGACCACTTTTCCCAAAATTTAAACAAAAAGCAGTTATTAAATGATTTGATTTCTTCTTTTATTTACCTTTTAAGTAGAACTTTACAAGTAGAACAGTGTTTAAAAGGATTTCTGCCCTTCCTTTGTTTTTCCTTCTTCCCCAATAAAGCTAAAGGTAAGCCGAATACATGGATTACATTTATAGTAAAAAGAAAAAGAAGGTTATACTTGGAACCATTACATCGGTTAGTGACATTCTTGAAGACAACTAACTGGCCATTAGCTGTCACATACATGGTAAAAATGAGGGGTGGGGGTGTGAAGGGGTAGGGACAGACAAACATCTTTATGCTAAGGAAAGTGACAGTGAAATTAACCACTGCAGTTTCTGTTTACTGTCCATCCCATGAGCCATCCTATTACTAAGCCTATTTACCTATGCTTTCAGTAAACTCAACCCACCCAGAGTGCTGTGCAAGACAGAAGACCTGCCATGAAAAACTGGGAAGTACTGGTATTCTTAATATACTGTCATTTTCTCCCCAAAATAAATCCAGTGTTCTGAAATGTTTTTAACATTTAAAAATAATATAAAATGTCTCTGCAGAGTACTTCACTCTTCAACAATTTAGCACTTAGTCTTCCAACATAGGTGGAGACTGACTGGTTTTAAAGTGCTTTAAGAATAAGAACCACTCTCCTTTGGGCCAGCTAGGAAGTAAACATAAACAGGTGTTGGTATTTCTGAGACAAGGTCTCTATGTATTGACTTCAGGCCTCCCTACTGTTGGAATTATGGGTATGTGCTACCATGCATGGCCAACAACTTTTTTTGGTACCAGGGATCAAACTCAGGACAACCTTGCGCTTGCCAGGCAGGCACGGCGACACTGAGCTACATCCCTGGCCCTAACAGTGATACTTTTATATGTCAATTTTCAAGTCCTGACAACCCAGTTTAGCTGGGTTCTCTAGCTCTCATGTGCTAAACTGCCACCAGCACACCAGGATCAGCTCTATGTATCTGTAAGAAATTAGGGAAATAGTCCATTTTCAAAGTCTGGATGGAAATGTACTGACCAGTCCACAGACAATTAAGGCATTTATTGTTATTTCCATCTTAACCACAAAGAACGACCTCAGCCAGAAAGTCCCAGACCAAGATGTTGGACCTGATAACTCATAAGCAACATTCCACCAAAGGTATACAGAGAGGGGTGGGTTTACCGAGAAACCAAGGGCAGCTTAGCTGGCAACCAAGGAGATTACACCCTGACCCCAGACAGTGAGAGGGAAAGCCACCCCATGCGTAGGGGCCAAGCTTCTGCCTGTGCGAGTCAGTCAAGCCTGACTGGACAGATGCCGCTTCTGCAGAAGCACCACGGAAGTCTCGCTTCCACTGTACCTCCTGTCTCTGGGATCATCCGCTCGGGTCTGAACGGCTTCTCCCATGGCACTTACCAAAGGCCCGGTCTAGCCTCTTTCCAAACGAGGTATGACTTCAAAGTGTGCATAGGAATTTCAACATGAGAATAATATCTGAAATGTAACCTTCATTCTGAAAATCCCCTTGCCCATTTCCTACTTCCAGCCAAGAAAGGAAAGGAAGCTTTTCCCTTATTTTGTGGCAGTACCGAGGACGCTGAATCCAGGGCTTCAACCCCAGCCCTTTAAATTTTTTTTATTTTCAGAAAGGACCTCTGGGCTTGAACAATCTGTAACTACAAGTGTGCAGCATCATTCCTAGCTAGTAATGAGATCTTAAAATTGCATAATTCTCAGCTATTTCAATTTGACTAATAAAAGGGGCTCAAAAAAGCTATTTTGTAAAGGAGAAAAAAACACAGAAACCATCTGTAATGGGCAGGAAACCAGCAGTTTCTTTGTCTACTAGAGTGACCCAATATTAACAAAGATGTATAGTTCAGTCCAAAATGTTCATGCTGATCCAATGAATGCTTCTGATCCTCATTTTAATATACAGAGAATAGAGGGGATAGAGGAAAAGAGAGTAGGTATGTAAACAATCAAACACATCCAAAAGGAAGTGTATGCTCCCAATATCTGGCCTCTTCCTGTCATTTAAAAGAGTGAATTAAGTCAGTACATGAAAAAATGTTCAGCATTATAGAAATGCAAATTGTAACACTGACATTCCACAATATTCTAGTAAAAATGCTCATGAGCAAGAACTCAATAATAAATGCTGATGAGACTGTGGGGAAAAAAGAACCCTTATCGACCTATTTAGTTCCATTGACTCAATTCTATCTCTCCAGGCTCAGGGAAGCTAAAATCACTTTACACAACCATACGTGCATATTAGCAGCACAACTCACAATACCACAATCAGGGAGGCTGCCTACATGCCCATCAACAGATGAATTGATAAAAGAAAATGTGACACAGGCCTGGGATTCAGCTCAGTGGTGCCGGCGCCTGCCTGGAAAGTGCAAGGACCTGAGTTTGATCCTTGGTACCAAA